AAAATAATAATTTTTTAATAAATATATTGTATTATTTATTAAATAAAAAAATGTACTAATTTAGTGTACAAAAAATGAATAATAAGAAAATAAAAGATTTTTTCACCCTCCAATAATTTAGTTGGTATATTCAAAGCTCAATTATAGCTTTACAATATCAAATCTTGCAAGATAAGTCAAAGTTAAAGATTTTTAATCATATCTCCTTTTCCTTATCTAATTCACAATTAATAACCCTCTCAATGGTCCACTCATAATCTGCTGTCTCAATGGTCCACTCATAATCTGCTGTCTCAATGGTCCACTCATTATCTACTTGTAGTGTTTGTTTGTTATAACAGTATTCATTAGTAATTGTGTCTAAATCATTATAGTATAAATATTTGATACATTGATTTATTTTTAAATTATTACAAATTAGTTGTATTTGACAAAATTTTTTATTTAATAATTTAGGTCTAGTAGATAATGATTATAATACAAATTATTAGCAAATTAAAATTTTTAAAATTTTATTGACAAATTTATCTATTTTAATTTATTCAATTAAAGATGATAAAATCTCAAAAAAAAAAAAAAGAAGTTAATTTTCTCTCAAGTATGGAATAGTAATTTATTAAATTGAAGATTAAAAGGTCTCGGAATATCATAGTTTTAGTCACTAAATGTAATTTTCCAAAACTACGGAGTTGTAGACCTTATTAAATGCAATCATTGGATATTTTTTCTTTTTTGCCCATATTGCGCGGATTGTTCCTTGTTCTTCAATTTTTCATATTAGAGTTTGAATTTTTAATCATTTTCTATCAATTCTTAAATTTTATAATAACTTTTAGTCTCAAGATTCTAATTAAATGATTAAAGTTGGATAGGAAGATTGCAGTTGGTAATTAATAATAATATTTTTTTAAAATGTTGTATATAACTATATTATAAAAAAATAATATTAAGAGAATTTGGAAAAAATTCAATATTAATTTTTATATTTTAATCCAAATATATCTATTATTTTTCTTATTATTATCTATTTTAAAGATTTATACAATATTCTTTCTTCTCTCAATTAAAGAATTACTATTAAATAAAATTTAATAACCGTGTGTTGAACATGCATTGCATGAGATCATTTTAATATTTCTTTCTCAACATTAAATTAGAGAAATTGATATATTTTTCTAAAATATAGCTCAAACTAAGCAATCTAAGCACCTCTATCATATAACCAAATTTTTTATGTAAAAAAATATTCGGGACAAAACATTAGATTTTGTTGTCAAGAATTAAAACAACTTTAAATTCACTTACGATGGCGGTTGATAATTGCAAAAAAAATCATCAAAAGAATATATGTAGGAAGTATCAAGAGAAACAATGAGTTTAAAAAGGTGGCACTGGACTCTTCACCTTTTTTTTTTTTTCTCTTTTTTGTTAAGTTAGTAAATTATTCTTATCTCTTTGTTTTTTAATTTTCATTTAGGAGTTTATTTAATATTTAGACCTTTGGCTTTTCATATTAAGCTAATAAATGTAATAGTTGGAGAACTTATGTTTTTCTATTGCACTTGACTCTTCAACTTTTCTTTTTTGCTTAAGTTAGTAAATTAATATTACCTTTTCTTTTTTTTTTTTTTTCTTAATGTTCATTTAGGAGAGACCTTTTCCTAGGAATTTGGCCCACATGATGCATACCTCCATCCATTTCTTGTGCAATTTTGTTAATTTTAACATCTACTAAAAATATCTTCTCTTAAAAACAACCAAAGAGATAAACTACCAATTAATAAAATTTAAAATATATATACAATAAAAGACTTTTATATGTGTTATTCTAACAATATTCAACATCTCATGTATTGTGATATTATGTGTGACATTTTTCACATTGCTGCTATTGTACCATGCTTTAATTAGTTATATATTTGGGAGTAAATTTTGTTTCTCTACAGTAACATTGACAAATTATATATGTTAAAATCTTAAATAATTTTAAATTTTTTAAATCACATCATCTCTTACTCCATGCTTACTTTCATGCTAGTAATTTTAAAAATATTGTCATTTATATAAATCTTTGTAGATTAAAAACTCGACAATGAAACTCTTCCTAACAAAAAAATTGTTTATGTAAAAATTAAATTACATAATTTGTGAAATTTTTCCATTTTAATAAAAAGCTATAAATTTTATTATATACTTATCTCTATTGTCTTAATTTGATCATCATAATGTGAATATAATAACCTCTATATTTGAACTATTAGAAAATCTAATTTGCTCAAATTGATTCACCATGAAAGACCAAAATGTTATACTCAAGCAATTTTTTCTTCAATAAATTTAAAACAAAATTAAACAACCATCTACGTTTAATCAATCAAATATCTTGTTTTATTCAATTGAAAAGAAGAGAAATTCAAATAGATATCATGCGATAACATCAATATAAATTATCTTTGTTCTTCAATATGTAACTCTATGCAAACAATATTACTACCATTTGCTTGCCTTTCTTGTGAAGTCTCAACACCAACTAAAACTCCAATAATATCTAGAGATCAAATAGAAGTATTCTCAATAAAAATAAATCAAATGTTCATTTAATAAAATTATTGAGATAAAAAGAACAAATACCACAAAGAGATTTCTTATTTTTCTCGAGTTGTTTCTCATAATCAATCAATTCAAATCCATACATCAAAATCACTGTGACTTCTTAATTTAATTCTTGAACAATAATATCAAGATGGAATTGGAGTCTATAATTGTTATAAGGGATAACACAATATGTGTTCTTATTCTTTTCCATAGAAAAAATTTTCATATAATAAATATTCCCTTCAACCAACTTATTCTTAAATTGTAGGGTATTGGAACTCTAAATTATAGTAAAAATAAAATTTTTCCCCAAATAAAATAATTATTGTTAATCAAAATTGCTAAATATCTAAAAAACCAAATGCGATAACTTATAAAATTACTTTCCCATCAACCAAAATCATTTTAATACTTAGATGGTCTTTATCACGTTTCAAACTAAAAACAACCCATAGTCCATATATTCACATTTTAATCTTCCAATCTTATTTATTAGGTGAAAGTTTACGAAGAAATACATATTCCATATTTTTACAATTAATTTAATTACCCCTAAATATTTTTGAAATTTTAGTAACAAAGTATTTCAAAATAAGACAAAAGATGTAACATAATTAGGAAAAAATAAATTGGTGATTAGAATCAACTACGTATTCATATTAAGAAAAATCAAACCAAGCACCTATATCTTGCAACCAAATTTTGGATTAAAATAAAATCTTTCAAACAAAATAAGAATGGAAAAAAAATCTCTTGCTTACAACAATTGTTGATGATTGCAAAAGAAATCTTGAGAAGAATGTATGTAGGGAGCATTAGGGGAAAGAGTGAGTTTAAATAGTCAACACTTGACTTCATTTGCTTGACTCTTATTTTTTTTTTATTGGATAACCTTTTCACCATTTTTGAATATTTTGATGGCCTTGCCTCTTCATCCACGAGGAAAAATTGATTAGCATGCTGCCAACAAGTAAACTATATTTATGCTAGTATCACTACTAGAAAGTTGATCATTTCGGTCAGAGCATTTTGGTCAAATAATTTTTTTAACCAAAAAAACAAATAATTCGGACAAATAGAATGACCAAATATCATATTTGTCCGCAGAAAATGAAAAAAGGCATATAATTCGGTCCAATTTTACTTCGGTCAAGCCACTTGACCAAATAAAAATGGGAAAAAATCTACTGTTATTTTAACTTTAAATATTAAAAAATAACATAAAATATTATTAATTTGTTATTGACCGAAATAAAATTCTGAACCGATTTGACATGCCAAGTCATGGTTCTGAAATTGAAAGAAGCACGGAAAATCTGAAATCAGATGTTTCGGTCAGCAAACAAGCATGGTAAATCTGATTTCAGATTTTCTGTGCTTCTTGGCAAATCTGATTTTAGATTTTATGAAATTCAAAAAACAAAAAAAATTCATCTTTAATTCAGTCAAGCTACTTGACCAAACTATGAAAAGAATTATTTTGGTCAAGTGGCTTGACCAAAATAAGCTACCCAACAAAATAAAAAAAAAACCCTTTATCTTTGCTAGAAAATTTTGAATTTCCCTCTTCATATAATTTGGTCAAAATGTATGACCGAAATAATTTCATAAATGTTTCAATCCAGCGTTGCCATTCAATTTTTTTTATGGAAAATGTTTGAAATTTTCACCCTTTTAAGTTCAGTCAGTATGACTATTCGAAATATTACTAGCTATTTATATACAAGATGGCAGACTACTTTCATCAATTCTCTAACTTCTTTTTCATTTCTAACGTCTTCAACACATTTCTTTACCATTTATTCCTTTTCATTTTCTACAATTTTCTTTGAATTTTCATTATATCTTCATGTGTTCATCTTTCTTTTTCTACTACTTGTTGATTAATCCTCTTCTTTAGTATTTTTCTTCAAATTTAATTTGCATTCTTCACAATTTTTTCTCCTAAATATTACTAATTCCTTTCTTTACTTTCATCTCTCTTTTACTTTCAATTTCCTTAATTATTTGATTATGTAAATTTTTCTTTAGTTTCTATTATCTTATATATATCTTTTTGTTGTTTATACTAATAATTTAATTTTTCATTTGCAAAGGTTCTCTAATTTGGTGAAGAATGGGACACAATTATGGGGGTAATTTTATTACATTATTCATACATATATATATTTTCATTTATTTATCTTTTTTGCATGCTTTAATTTATATGATTTCATTTGTGGTTATATATTGTACTTTTGCAGACTTTTTTTGCAAATGCCAAGTATTTTTTATTTATTTTCATATTTTTGCATATATGAAAATTTAATCATATTTATTAATAAATAATTGTAATAATAATTAAAAGGTCCAAAAATTAAATAAAAAAGAATTGTATATAATTCATGATATTAATATCAAATTTTTTTATACTAAATCTTATTATAATATTTATTATGTAGATTACAATTCATTAAATAATTTAATTTTTTTTTTCTAATCTGGACAAAAATTTCGGTCAAGATTCTTAACTGAAATAGAATGAATAGTTTCACTCAACTTTCTCCTTTCTCTGGTGACGTACCTTGACCAAAATATATTGTTCAAAATACCAAAAATATCCCTTACCTTAAATTCGGTCATGTAAAATGACCGAAATATCTTGGTCACTAAACTATTCATTCCTAGTGATTTCGGTCAGTCATAATGACCAAATATATGATTTAAATAATGTTTTATTAGTTCGGTTAAATTATTTGTCTAAATATAAGAATTGTTTAATGATTTATTCAGCCACTTCTTCGACCGTGATACTAACCGAATTAAATATTTATTTCGATTAAGATGAAATTTTATCTGAAATACTACTTCTTATAGTGGATATTTGGTCCAACATTTTGGTTAGTGATATTGACTGAGGTGCTTCTGGTTCGATCAAAAAACTGTCTTTTTTGGTCAATCTGCTTGACCTAAAAGGGCCCTAATTCTAGTAGTGTATGGTATTAACGAGGATAGGGTAATGAAGCAATGATGGCCATGTGACTCACGTTATGGGATTATGTCTATTTTAGACCCATTATAGTAATAATATGAAGTTTATGTGTTAAAATACACAACGTGAATGTTCAGGGGCTAATGGTTTCAAAGACAATAGTTGGAGGGTTTCTAGGGTGGTTATGCCTTGAAAAGGTTTGTAGGGCATTGAATAAAGGTGTATTTTTTTTTTTTGTTAATTTGTATGAGAAAATACAAAAATCAACTTTATTTTTAATATTAAGGGAACATGTATAATTTTAATTAGACAATTTAAAAAATTGAAGTTAACTTTATCTTTTATAATAATTAATAAGAAAAATAAGTTAGAAAAATTAATATTAAAAATTAGGTTTTTCTAATAAGTGCTCAAAGGTTTGTTAATAATATATGTACTACACTTTTTATAATTAATATATAAAAGATATGATTTGATATTAATTTTATTAATTATCTAATTAAAAATAATTGCATGACATAGGTGTTAAAATTTATTTATTTTTATTATAAATTAATGCACAAAATATGTATTTAAAATACTCTTAACTTTTGCCCTTAGAATAAATATTAGACAAACCCTTAGAATTTTCCTTGGTAATTAGGTTGTACTATTATTATAAAGAGTTGTGTATAAGAGTACATCCTAACTCTACTATAAATCTATTAATTTATATATTCACCATTGTTGACTAGTATTAGAAGTAATATGAATTAATCTTGTTCTTTGGAGAAAACAAATCTCTATTAGTGAGTTATAAATTCATTTATGAAATTTGTAAAGGCAAAGAGGCTCTAATGCCACATAACTATAAAAGTTTAAAATGAGGCTTGCTTTCAAGGTGGGTAGGAACAAGAGTGATAGTTTTGAAAAGTTTGCTTTCAAGGTGTAATTGGTGTCCTTGTTGGTAAGTTAACGACCATGGAAGCTCACTCCATGAAGAAGAAGATGATGAAGATTCCTTCTTTGGTAGCAACAATTAATCTTGTGCCAAGAATACTTAGAAGAGA